ATTTTCAAGACTTTCATATATTTATAGATCTACTAGATTTTAGCCATTTTTAGAGTTTAAAATTTTCTAATTAGGCATGAAAATAGATTTTAAGATAATACAAAATAATTTTTACAACAAAATTACATGTTATAATAAAATTTTAAGGTTCGCCTTAATTGGGTTGTTTAAGGTTGCAACCTTATAGAAACCTCACCCTTATTTATATACTATATATTAAATATGGAAGATGCTAGGGTAAGCCCATGGGCTCATGGAACAGTATAAGCCTAACGGCTCAAATTGAATATGAGCCTATCTGACGATCATGATATATATTGGTAATATAATTTTAATATTTTTAATAGAAATACAAATAGCATGAAATTTGGAGTATAAACTCTTCTCATCAAGGCGCACCTAATAAAAATATTAAAAAAATAAGTCACATAAAATAAATTGATCAAAATACCCTCGAAACTTTTCAGGGGTATTTTGATCAATTTAATTTATACGAATAAATTTTTTTGATATTTTTATTAGATTCGACTATTCTTGAAGAATAAATGCTCCAAATTTCAAATAATTTGAATTTGTAGAAAACAAATTAAAATTCAATTACAAAATACAATTTTGATCATTGGATCGATCCAGATTCAATCTGAACCGTTGAGCTTGCATTGTTCCATGAGCCCATGGGTTGACATGAGCTCTTTCCATTAAATATTATTTAAATATTAGCACTATTTGAGTCAGGACGATCGGGTCAACATGGACCTAGACCCGACCTGCCATGTCCAATTTTTGGACCAATACTTAGACCTAGGTTGGGTCTGGTTGTCGAATCCGGGTCCATTGCCACGCCTATTTCTCTCTCCCCTCATGACGTCGCTTTTCTTCACATTAAAACCAAACAAATTCATAGACCGGACAATCTAATGACGTTGCCGCACCCTCGTATGCTTTAAAAATCTAAGCCATAGGGAGCTTGACCTACAATCGATGCATCCCCCTTTACGCATGTCATCGCATTTTTTTTCTTTGGGGAGAAAATGGAAGCCGAATATCGAGACAATGGAAAAAAAACATTGGCCCCATTCGCACTTCATAACATTCCAAGGACCAGCCGGCACTTTGAAACCCGGATCAGTGGGGGGACCATTGGATTGTCAATTTGAATTTAAACTAGATTAATTTTAGTTTAAATTCATATTAGTGATCTAAAAAATGTAAAAACTAACTAAAATAAAATTAGGATTTATGAGATGGGGATTTAGAAGATGAGCTTTATATATATATATATATATATAACAAAAAGCTAACAATAGTATAATGAATAATAATATAGGTGGAATCCTAACAGTCAAATCTTCATCATCATCATGTGGTTCAAAATATATATTACTATATGAATTTTAAATTTATTTTTCTAGAAATCGGATCATAATGAAATTTTAAACGTGTCTACTAAAAAATAGGACGTACAATTAAAAAAAAAATATAAAAAATATCCCAAAATATAAAATAGCCTAAATACCCCTAAAAATGATGGAGGTAATTTGGCCATTTTAAATTATTAAAAATAAAGTTCTTATATTTTTATATGGTGCACAATAGTGTTAAGTATATACACCCAAAATTTCATCTTAATCAGTTATATAGAAAAAAAATTAAAATTAAAACAGTGATATATATATTTTGAACTACTCGATGAAAATTTGACTGCTGAAATTTCACTTATATTACTATTCATTATAGCTTTCCAAACTATTATAAATTTTGCTCTTTATTTATATATATATATATATATATATATATATATATA